CTCTTGAAGTTGCAATGATCAGATGGAGTGGTTTATCAGCAAACCAACGCGGCCAACCACAGCCGCGTAGCCAGTCAGTCTTTTCGTCGTGCTCGAGTTCGTTACTTGGGGACATCAATTCATGCTCTTCTCATAGGAGCCTGGCTTCCTCCTTGTCCTCCATCTGCAGCAGAGCGACGGTTGCAGGATCATCCAGAGCAGACTGATGCCAGCCTGGCCTAGCCTTTGCCTCATGCTGACCTATAGCAGTATCACCATTCACGCGCCAGGTCTTCCTAACATTTCGTCCAAAAAACGCCCATCCTTGAACAGAGCATGACAGATCATCACAGGCCTTGCGCTCTCTTCTGCACTGTGTCTCTCGAAAGTGACGCAGGAGCACATCCCAACTATAAGTCGTGTAGTCGCAGTATGGGCAGAAGTAGCCTCGCCTGGGTGACACCAGGAACTCTAACGGAGAGGATCCACCTGGAAGAGGTATGACATCTGCATCGGTCTGCGACACGGCAAGACCTTTGTACTGAGAGACGATGGCTGTGCAGAACGACGTGCGGATCTTGTGGTAGTGACGGAGGTGGTAATGGAGGGTCTTGTACGGCACAACGCTGCAACATGGGCTGCACAACAAATGTCCATATTGCGGTACATGAGAGATGATGCTTGAGATCTCCTTCTTAGCGGGCTACTCAATTGTTAGCTAGAAGGAATCTAGACAGGGACGAAAGATGCTGCCACATGCATTGCCTACCTGCCTTGTTCTCAGGATATTTGATATAGGTTGTCGACTTGTTCTTTGCAGGATTTCCAGTATAGACCGTCCACGAGGATAACGCGAAGGCGCTTTGGAGAGAGGTGCTCTCTGCAGGATTGCTTAACATTGCAGATGTTCAATTTGTTGGCATTGCAAGGCAATTAGACTACAGAGAGCTGTCCTTTCTTAGAAGATTACTATGCACAGGTACAGGACATGACAGAAAAGGCTACGGCAGGGCTAAACCTAATTAGGCCGTAAAAAGGGGGTTGTTCGTGACTAGCGCAACTCGGGGGGTGACTCGCCCCCTGAGTTGCAGACTATTCCAAATTAGGGACGAATGTCGCGCCGTTCATGATGGTTGCATGGAGGTAGGTGATGCTTCAGCGCCGCAAGCCGAGTATTAGTATAAATTCTGGGAGGACCACGTCAGTGGCGGCCCAGCTGCAGAAAAGGCTATCAGTTTTGGCGTCATAAGAGGCTACAAAAAGTTCTTACTTGATTGAGGTTACGATCACCAGGATGGCCTTGCTGTCGGTCTTGGAAAACGTGAGAACCAGTGCTTTCAGTTCTTATCCAAGGTGTCAGAGGAAGAAATCAATGAGTTCCAAGCAAGGCACTTGGTTACGTTGCAACAAGCGCTCCAAAGTGCGTAAAGGACACGCTTCCTGTGTGGGCTTGTACAGATGCTTGAAGTTGGGCAGAATTTCTCAAAGCACTTCATGCCAACGACTCCCATCAGGTTGAAAGTCTGCTTAGTCCCGAAACTGTGCCCATTGTTCGCCACCGAATGGTAAACATTGTTTCTGAAGCTGCAATGAATTATAGTGAAGGAGGACCTGGAAGGCTCTATACGAAAAGACATCGCACAATGCGGACTGTGGCAATATTGATACTCGTATCGATCCGATCTCTCTGTACATTCAAAGATACCAAAGAAGTCCTTGGTCTGCTTATCAACCATGGGCCCTCTTTCTTGCAATCATCAACACTAGCACCTAGTGCTTTTCTCGACGTACTATGGGGGGAAGTCGACAGCAGCTCGATTTCTCAAGATGCACTTTATTTCTCGACGCTGTGCTCACTGCGGCAACACACGAAGAGTCTGATGACACAGACCTGACTCACTCCGCACTGACGATCTGTTGTGAAGCCTTGGTGCTCTGCAGCAACGTGGATCGTGACGGAAAGGCTGACAACTGTTTCGTTTTTATTGAACGCCTACTCCAAGTCGGCTGCAGCCCCGAGTGCCAGGCAGTGGCGGTCAAACCCCGCGACAATATCTCGAACATGCTTCTGGGCTTGATCATCTCCCTGTCATCGCAGGCTTCCGATTCCATGAAGGCAACAAGGATGCACGCAGGTTGTAGCAGGGAGTAAAGACCCTGAAAACTCTCAATGACGCCATCGAATGCTGCGACATTGTGAGTGAATTCACGGTCGGGGCGTTGACATCCGATAAATCCTCTATGACTTTCGAATTACAGATATTTCTCGGCGCTGGCTGTCAGCCCATTGAATTGAAGACGCAAGTACTGGCCATTCGCACGTGCATGTTGAAAAGCGTTTTTATTCAATTCATGGCTACATGTCGAAACTGTACTGCCACTGAGAGCTGCTTGGACATGATGTGTAAGACGTTGTGCTTTGGCCAATGTATCTTTTGTCGGCGGAAACTCTACATCCATGTGTATCCTCCCCGCATAAGCCCGACATGCCCCAAATGAAAGGCTTCAAGCCCATTCTGTGAATGCTGTGAGTAATGATCTGTAGCAAGAACTGTGCGGTGAGGACTCCTCATCTAGATCCTTTGTACGCTTTCAAAACTCCCTCCTTCACACCAGGATTCGCCGGCAACCACGCATCACCCACCCTAAAGCCCTCCGGAAACGGATCCTCCGGATCAAGCACAACCTGTTTGAAGCTCGTAATCCACCCACGGCCCTTAACAGTCGGCACGATAGCCTCATACTCTCCCACCTTCGCCGTCCTCACAACCCACCCGATGAACTCGGTATTGATTGGACTTTTGTTCACCCAGCTCTCGCCCACTTCCAGTAACCCTCGAGCATGCAGCACCGCCATACGCGCACACGTCCCAGTTCCGCATGGGCTCCTGTCGAACCGGCCTGGCATGACAACGGTAGCGTTCTTCGTAACCTTCACTCCCTCTTCTTCTACCAGAGGGGTAGTGAAGACAACATTCGTAACACCTCTTATCGCTGGGTTCTCCGGATGTACTGCCGTAAATTGTTCGCGCACAGCAACCTTGATCTTCTCACCCAGCTTGACAAGCTCCGCACCATTCTCGTAGTGATCCTCAAGATTATGTCCGACGGACGCCACGTCAACAAAAGCAAACATCATGCCGCCGTATGCTACGTCGACCGTGACAGTACCTAGATTTGAGACGTTGATGGGAATGTCAAGATCTAGGACAAACGAGGGCGCGTTCTCGAATTCCACACTCTTGCATTTCCCATCTGCGCACTCTGCCTTCACCGTCACAAGCCCGGCAGCCGTATCCAACGCCAATTCCGTAACCGGCTCCACCATTTTAACCATGCCTGTCTCCAGCAGCGCCGTCACAGTGCAAATCGTATTCGAGCCAGACATCGGGACATATTCCTCGGACTCCATGATAAGCAGTCCCGCATCCGCCTTCGGATTACACGGCGGCAGAATGAGGTTTGTGCACATCGATACTCTCCCGCGCGGTTCGTTGAGCAGCAGATTCCGGATGCTGTCGTTCTTCTCCCACATGTAGATCATCTTGTCGTACATGGTTGCGCCGGGGACGTCGAGGACGCCGCCGACGATGACGTCGCCTACTTCGCCTTCGGCGTGGACGCCAATGATGTCGAGTTTGCGAGAGAAGTGCATTGTGGGTGTATGAGTTGGGGAAGGAATGGTGGAGGCTGGAGTTTGGGATATGGGTGGTATTCGATGTTGCGGAAGCTGTACTGCTTCGGGCAAGCCTTTCCGCCGACTCTCATAAGGCTGATTAATCCATGCGTCTGCAAGTCGTAGCACATATTACTGCATCTTCTGGCGTATAATGGTAAAAGACGGGTGCTAAGCGGGCTACTGTGCCAATATGAAGCTCATTGTATACAGCATCAATAGCGTTCCGAACCCAATCACAGACGATAGGAGCGCGGGATTGATGAACGGTCGTGTTGTAAATTTTAGATGTTGTGAAGGTTGAGGGAGGGTAGATCTTGCGCAGGTACAGGGTTGTATGAATATAAGCAAGAAGAAAGTTTCTGAAATGCGTAAGCGCGTCATTAGATGCAGGCGGCATGGAAAGCGGAGGGCACAAGTGTGGCTATAGTAAGATGGAATTCAGCAGTGGGTCCGCGCAGCTGATGTGATACCGTAGAAGGTCAGTCAGCTCGGAAAACACTACTGCACGCTAAGTGGGTGGTGGTGCGGATGCTGTACCATCCGAACCAATGCCAGCTGATCTACCAAGGCCTGAATATCAGAGAATCATGAACGCATCACAGTCAATTGCCACCACAGGGTTTCCATCAGAAAATCATCAAATCAGCTCTCATTGTCTACAGTATACTCACATAAACCACAACCACCATCGACCACACGTTCCGATTTGGTCGTCGCTGCTAAACTCATTCGTCGTGTTTCTCATTGGCATTATTTACGTTTGTTTGTTCACAACATTCAATGCGTTGATTTCATCTGCAGCAATCATATCACAAGGCTCATATGCGATCCTGTCGCAGGCCAACCGCTGTCGTGAACATGGACTCAATACTAATCCTGCCGTGCGATGGCCTGAATATAAGCTGAGCTATGATGCTAGAACAACACAACAACATACACACTCTTTTTGTCACGGTTAGGGTGCTCCTGCCTGTCGAACCTCACCTGCCATGAGAGTGACTGCCACGTCACACTAGCGTTGTTTACGGCTACTCACCTATATGTACTGTCCGTAGCTTCACCCAATACAACCTCAGTTCAATCCGTCAATTCTTCCCATATGCGCACTGTCCACGCTGCCCGACAGATATTGTACGCGACCTCTCACCCCTAGGGGCAAGCGTACCACCGTAGACTTGACTGCTCTGTGAACTGTTGCCTCTAGGGGCTAACTTTATTTTCGCCCCTGGGGGCAACCTAACCCTACCCCTATAGGTACAGTTTGGGCATATCGTAGGCTCAGCAATCTTCATTATTCGGGACGTCTGTTGTAGCATCTTGAAGCAAGTGTCGCGCGTATACTGCTTTTTCTTCTTGAAGAATGACTCCAGCAAATGCGGTTGATACATCTTCAGCTAATGTTCGGGCTCACCTGGAAGAGCCAGATCCGAGAACACCTGATTTACCAATGGTGATATTCTGGTCTTTTGCGGTATCAGAAGAGTGTAATGCTGATAGTTAATTGACTACGTAAACAACTGTGCCTGAAATCTGGGTCGTATCTTCCTCTGCGTGCTGTGAAACCCCTTGGATCTTTGGAAAGTGCTACGTGTCCACCTAACAGTGACTCGAAGATGAGCCAGTTGATGCCCCACAGAAATCAAGACCATTGCTGTAGCGCCTTGAAGCCATGAGTTAGTTTGTGCAGTAAAAAGGATGTATGGGAACACTTACATGTAGCCAGCCATCAAGGGATACGCATCATCAAATACCTGGTATGTACCTGCAATGTATAGACCGCACGAGGATGTGATGGCCCTCAAGTAGCCGGCGAAGTTGTCGCCGTCAATCCTCTTGCTGCGATCACTGCGATTGCATGCGAAAGCGACCGTACCTCCACGGATCGAGTAATAGGCCAGGCCTGCACCGATAGAACTTGGGTTGGCTGCATTTGCACCCTCTGATCAGCGACCTCCGTCACGAGTTGGGGTGTCTGTTCCCTTACAGATAGTTCCACCGCTTGCCATACGGTCCAACTGGCCCTTGAGATCAGCCACGGCGGCGTCGGTGTCCCCAGCATTCATATTGAATCCACATCCGCACCAGATATGGCCCTCTCCGCGGCGTTCAAAACCGCTTTGTGAGCTGGCTTGATTGTGGGAATACTCCGTGGCATCACCAATCCGAGAGTGAAGTTTCAACGCCACGTTCGTCTAGTGCTACGGCGTAGACACCATCCCTAGAACCCTCTGGTATGACATAAGAGCACACTGAAGATGCAAGCGTGAGAACGGTGACGAGCTTGAGAGAATGCATTGTGACGGAGAAAATTTTCGAGGTTTTGAGGGAGATGTAGGCTGTACCACTCACCCGTCTGTTGTGTTCTTTATATACGACATGCAAGCAACTGCGTGCTCGCGACATAGTTCTACTTTTGACTAGCATGTGGAAATACGAGGTATAGCAAGGGCTCAGTCTAGACTTACACGATGTGGGACTTTCTCCGGAAGTATTGTTTATATTCACCATGTGACGATGGACCAAGCTGCAGTCGAGATATAGCCAATATACCACCCCGATCCACATCTTAATCAGAAAGTTGCAGAGCCTGGAAGGAACGAATCTATCTCGCTTGCGCCTGCTATCACGGTGAAACATCTCACCATTTGGCAAGGCCTCAAAGTTATGTCTCCACTGCCACCCTCTCTTTGAGAAAATGTTGCGGTATCGGGTGGTCCATACAGTGTCTGACTATACCCCTGACCACAACCCTGGACTAGTGTGTCACAGGTCAGGTATATAGTCGTCTCCTCCTAGCTAGATTACAATCAAGCGCAGTATTCCATCGACCCGATAGTCCTACGTTATCGTTTACCGTAGTTATCAGTATTCTACAGCGGTCCACACCGCTACAGAAAAAAACGTTTTTGTCAAACCGAAAGTGCAATCTCCAAATTAAGCGAACGTAAGGAACGGGCGGCTGAATTTACCGTGTCCGTGCGCGTAATGCGCGGATTCGCGTAATGTGCCAAACCACCAAAATAGGTCCACCAAAAATGAGGCTGTAGAGCCACACACAATGGTTATTATCATGAGATTTTCTGGTGGAGTAGTCTATAGACCTATATGAACAAGTTCCTCACTCAAACTTTTGTGGCACTCTGATTGGGCGGCCGCGGCTGTTGTATTTTGCTGGAGGGGATGGGGAGCAAGGCACGGCAGCAGCACAACTATGGGCAGCTGCACTACCACAATTCTGCTTCTTCCTGGGTGCTGCAACCTCTGAGGCCTTGCGCTT